CGGCGCGGCGGCTGCGGGGTGGCGCGGCGCGGGCGGCGGCGACGCTAGGGTTCAGGCGGCGGGGCGGCTCGGTGGGCTGTGGGGTCGGGCGCCCCGGCTTTTAAAGGCCGGCCCCGGAGGAGTCCGGGCCTAACACGGCCCGTAGGTTGGTTTCGTTTTTTTTAAATTATTCCGCGCAGAAAAACAAATAAAAGAAATACTAAACTGACTCCAAAAATCCCAAAATAAATTTTCCCGGGCTTCTAAAATCAATCTGCACAAGGTGAACATTTATTTGGGGCCTAAATGCAATTTTGGAAAATGCACATTTTCCCTAAATTCAAATAAAATAACGAAAAACTCCAAAATAAAATCCTATTTGATTTTATTATTAAATCCTAAATATTTCTTTATTTTGGGAAAGTCATTTTATTCTCTCTCTCATATTTTTGTAATAGAAATAATTGATGATAAAATAATTAAAATCAAATGATCCTATTCTCATATGAAAATAACGAAATCCCCAACTCTCTCCGTGGGTCCTTGAGTTGCGTAGAATTTCTAGGATCAAAACCAAAACCAAATAAAATATGATATGCAATGATGATCTAATGTATAACATTCCAAATTGAAAATTTGGGATGTTACATATAACAAGAAACCATTACCAAAGAAAAGAAAGGAAATAGAACAAAAAAGGTTGCTACTACTGTTACAAAGTAGTCTGAGGAAAATCACAGCCTGAACTAAAATGGAGTCCAATTAGTTGCTCAAAGCATTACTTAGCACAACCTTGAAGTTTCTTTTCCAAAACAATGATCCCAGAACTTGAGCGAGTACTATGTACACTCCACATTTGAGCTGGTCTGAACTAGGGTTCTGCAGTCCAAAAGATGCGATGTACTTCATCGGGTACAGGTCATGTTCATCTCAAACCACAACCTTTTTGGTTAATAGTAAACCATCTGGTACCATAGTTAATGTACAACGATAGTTCCGAATGTACTCTTTTGCCATTCAATCCGCTGGTGACAGATCATGTTTGATAGTAACAACATGTGCAGATGTGTAGAGAGCCATAATGCTAGTACGTGCTGCTAACAATGGTTATCATGTGAGTGGTGCAATGAATCCTACTGTGCTTATGGTTGTTGGGGCCTTACACATTGTCTTCTTCCAGAATAGCATTGGATGGCGGCCTCCTAACACTAGAGCTCCAGATGTACTCTCTTGACATTAAATCGGCTGGTGACGGATCTGGTTTCACCACAGCTAAGAGCATGTGCAAATGTGTAAAGTCATAATGCTTTTTTGATCTGATAAAGTCATAATGTTAGTACGATGTAAAGGGTGAGCACCATGTGGGGAGGGCTAGCGTGCTTATGGTTTGCACTTTGTAGGGCCTTACACATTTTCTTCTTTATTGTGATGAACTCACTATGAGCCCATGGAATTAAACACAAAGATGCATGGTTGGTAAGTCACCACTATATAACAGACTTTGCATATGTTGCAAGTGACAACATCTCATGCAAACTTACTAAACATGGTAGGATTGAGAAGCATCCCATGTCAGTCAAGGCATTTTTTAATGCGTAGGACTGGGAGGAATCTGGAAGGGATGTAGAAATAGTCGGTCCTTGAGGCAAGAAATTACCTCTGCTCTACCTTCCAGTTGTGATGGGTCTTTGAGTGTCGTGAGGGCCCCTTGTGCATAAAGCTTCATAGTTTTAAGATTCCTGAAAATTCCACAAGCAAGGCTTCTACTTCTACTTGTAAGGCAAGGCTGCACTGCATCCACGAATCATCGGAGCTAACCCATCGCTCCGAGCATCGTGAGTCTGAGGCGTTCCTCCCGTTGTTCCGAGCCACATCTAGCACGGCTGCTCGCTCACTTCTGACCCCGAGCGATGCCCGTCGTCGCCTGTCTCGTCCCGTTCCCTTGGAGATGTTGGGGTCGTCGAGGTCATCCTCTACAACTGGGTCTGGGAGAGACGGGTAAAGGATGGGAGGGGTGGTCACGGGTTCTGCGGGGTTGACAGGCTGCGAGGGCCACATTGGCCGGGAGCTTTCAAAAAATTTCAAAAGCTAAGCTTATCCACCATGTTTAAAGCTACATTCCTTCCCCCCTTTTCAATGTATCCCGATTTTTTTTCGGGGCTTCAGTTTATCCCGATTAATAGAACTACTTCTAGACACAAACTAATTCATTGGGCACATACCAACAAGCCTAGGAAACCTTCAATCTCTTGAAACACTGAGCATTTCCAATAACAATCTTAATAGTAGGGTACCAGAGGGGATGTTCAACATTCCAACAATAAGGAAAATTGGATTATCACTCAACAACCTTCACGGACAACTTCCTGCAGAAGTAGGCAACGCCAAGCAGCTCGTGATTTTGCTGCTTTCATCGAACAAGTTATCTGGCCATATTCCAAGTACTTCAGGTGATTGCAAAAGTTTGACACATTGACTTGGACAATAATATTTTCAATGTAAACATCCCCGTTTCATTTGGCAACCTATTTGGCCTAAAAGTCCTCAATTTGTCTTACAATAACTTAACCGGATCAATACCAGCGTCTCTTGGGAACCTTCAACTTCTTAAGAAAATAGATCTGTCGTTCAACCATCTTGAGGGCAAGGTTCCAATTCATGGAATATTCAAGAACGCAACTGCCACACATATTGATGGAAATCAGGGCCTTTGTGGTGGGGCATCGAACTTACACCTGGCTTCATGTTCTGTTATGTCTTCAAATTTATCTAAACACAGGCTACCTGTAATAGTCAAAGTAGTGATCCCACTCGCTTGCATGCTCTCACTGCTTGCTACGGTGATCTTTGTGCAGCTTTGGCGAAGGAAAAACCGTATGAGAAGTTCTATGTCTTCACTCTCATTTGATAGCAAATCCCCCCAAGTTTCCTATAAGGATCTTGCTAGAGCAACAGATGGATTCTCTGTATCCAATTTGATTGGCACGGGAAGATACATTTTAGTATATAGAGGGAAGATACTTCAAGAAGAAAATGTGGTTGCCGTGAAAGTATTTTGCTTAGAGGTAAGGGGAGCACAGAGGAGCTGCATTGCAGAGTGCAATGCTTTGCGAAATGTGCGACACCGCAATCTAGTCCATATCTTAACTGCATGCTCTAGCATTGATTCTAGCGGAAATGATTTCAAAGCGCTAGTGTATGAGTTCATGCCAGGAGGGGATTTGCATAACTTGCTATACTCAATGGAAGACAATGGCAACTCTTTAAAACATGTTTCACTTGCTCAAAGGTTAAGCATTGTGGTGGATATAGCAGATGCAATGGCGTACCTACACTATAACCACCATGGAAGTATTGTTCATTGTGATCTCAAACCCAACAACATTCTTCTGGACAATGACATGGTAGCTCATGTTGGAGACTTTGGACTCGCACGGTTGCAAGTCTATCCCATGTCATAATCCTTTGATGACTCGACATCGGTTTCTTCGCTTGCAATCAGGGGAACCATAGGATATGTTGCTCCAGGTATTATTTTTTATGATCTGTTTTTCTTACTAATTTAGTTGGAAGTGTGAGATTAAACCAATCTGTTGATATATGCAATCTACAGAATATGGAGAGGGTGGTCAAGTTTCTACTCAGATGTTTACAGCTTTGGGGTCATTCTCCTTGAAATATTCATATGAAAGAGCCCAACAGATGGCATGTTCAAGGACGGATTAATCATTGCCAAGTTTGCAGAGGTTAACGTCCTTGACAAGATGATGCAGATCGTCGACCCACAACTGGTACAAGAGTTGGACCTTTGCGAAGAAGCTCCATCGGTGGAGGATAATGGAGTACATTGTTTACTTTCTGTGCTGAATGTTGGCCTTTGCTGAATGTTGGCCTCTGATACGTCCATTTTGCATCATGCTTTTATATCGATATTTATTGCATTATGGGCTGTTATTACACATTATGTCACAATGCTTATGCCCATTCTCTCTTATTTTACAAGGTTTACATAAAGAGGGAGAAGGCCGACAGCTGGGATTCTGGGCTGGAAAAGGAGCAAATATTAGAGACCTATTCTGCACAGCTCCAAAAGTCCTGAAACTTCACGGAAGTTATTTCCAGAATATATAAAAAATACTGAGTGCAAGAATTACCAGAGGGGGCCACTTGTCGGTGTCAAAACCGGCGGATATCGGTTAGGGGGTCCTGAACTGTGCGTCTAAGGTGGATGGTAACAGGAGGCGGGGGACACAGTGTTTACCCAGGTTCGGGCCCTCTCAATGGAGGTAATACCCTACTTCCTGCTTGATTGATCTTGATGATATGAGTATTACAAGAGTTGATCTACCACGATATCAGAGAGGCTAAACCCTAGAAGCTAGCCTATGGTATGATTGTTGTTGTCCTTCAGACTAAAACCCTCCAGTTTATATAGACACCGGAGGGAGCTAGGGTTACATAGAGTCGGTTAGAAGGGAGGAGATCTACATATCCGAATCGCCAAGCTTGCCCTCCATGCAAAGGAGAGTCCCATCCGGACACAGGACGAAGTCTTCAATCTTGTATCTTCATAGTCCAACAGTCTGGCCAAAGTATATAGTCCGGCAGTCCGAGGACCCCCTAATCCAGGACTCCCTCACCACTCACCAGCCATGAGGGTGGGAGGCGCGCCCTACCCCCCTGGGCGCGCCCCACTGCCTCGTGGGCCCCCTGATGGCCCTCCGATGCCCATCTTCTTCTATATGGAGTCTTTCGTTGAGGAAAAAATCATAAGCAAGATTTCGGGACGAGACTCCGCCGCCACGAGGTGGAACCTTGGCAGAACCAATCTAGGGCTTTGGCGGAGCTGTTCTGCAGGGGAAACTTCCCTCCGGGAGGGGGAAATCATCACCAATGCTCCTCTCATCGGGAGGGGCCCAATCTCCATCAACATCTTCACCAGCACCATCTCCTCTCAAACCCTAGTTCATCTCTTGTATCCAATTCTTGTCTCTAAGTCTGGGATTGGTACCTGTAGGTTGCTAGTAGTGTTGATTACTCCTTGTAGTTGATGCTAGTTGGTTTACTTGGTGGAAGATCATATGTTCAGATCCTATATGCACATTAATACCCCTCTGATTATGAACATGAATATGCTTTGTGATTAGTTACGTTTGTTCCTGAGGACATGGGAGAAGTCTTTGCTATTAGTAGTCATCTGAATTTGGTATTCGTTCGATATTCTGATGAGATGTATGTTGTCTCTCCTCTAGTGGTGTTATGTGAAAGTCGACTACATGACACTTCACCATTATTTGGGCCTAGAGGAAAGCATTGGGAAGTAATAAGTAGATGATGGGTTGCTAGAGTGACAAAAGCTTAAACCCTAGTTTATGCGTTGCTTCGTAAGGGGCTGATTTGGATCCATATGTTTCATGCTATGGTTAGGTTTACCTTGATACTTTTGTTGTAGTTGCGGATGCTTGCAATAGAGGTTAATCATAAGTGGGATGCTTGTCTAAGTAAGGACAGTACCCAAGCACCGGTCCACCCACATACCAAATTATCAAAGTACCGAACGTGAATCATATGAACGTGATGAAAACTAGCTTGACGATAATTCCCATGTGTCCTCGGGTGCGCTTTTCTCTATATAAGAGTTTGTCCAGACTTGTCCTTTTCTACAAAAAGGATTGGGCCACCTTGCTGCACTTTATTTACTTTTGTTATTTGTTGCTCGTTACAAATTATCTTATCACAAAACTATCTATTACCTATAATTTCAGTGCTTGCAGAGAATACCTTGCTGAAAACCGCTTATCATTTCCTTATGCTCCTCGTTGGGTTCGACACTCTTACTTATCAAAAGGACTAATATAGATCCCCTATACTTGTGGGTCATCAAGACTCTTTTCTGGCGCCATTGCCGGGGACTGAAGCGCCTTTGGTAGGTGGAATTTGGTAAGGAAAAATTTATATAGTGTGCTGAAATTTACTGTCACTTGTTACTATGGAAAGTAATCCTCTAAGGGGCTTGTTCGGGGTATCTTCACCTCGACCAGTAGAGCAAAGAGTTGCTCCTCAACCTACTGAAAATGAAAATCTCTACTTTGAAATTCCTTCGGGTATGATAGAAAAACTGCTAGCTAATCCTTTTGCAGGAGATGGAACATTACATCCTGATGAGCACCTAATATATGTGGATGAAGTTTGTGGATTATTTAAGCTTGCAGGTATGCCCGATGATGTTATCAAGAAGAATGTCTTCCCTTTATCTTTGGAGGGAGATGCATTGACATGGTATAGGCTATGTGATGATATGGGATCATGGAACTACAAACGATTGAAATTGGAATTTCATCAGAAGTTTTATCATATGCATTTTGTTCATCGTGATTGTAATTATATATATAATTTTTGGCCTCGTGAAGGAGAAAGCATCGCTCAAGCTTGGGGGAGGCTTAAATCAATGTTATATTCATGACCCAATCATGAGCTCTCAAGAGAAATGATTATTCAAAATTTTTATGCTCGGCTTTCTGATAACAATCACACCATGCTCGATACTTCTTGTGTTGGCTCTTTTATGATGAAGACTATTGAATTCAAATGGGATATATTGGAAAGAGTTAAACGCAACTCTTAAGATTGGGATCTCGACGAAGGTAAGGAGTTAGGTATGACACCTAAGTTTGATTGTGTTAAATCTTTTATGGATACCGATGTTTTCTGTAAATTTAGCACTAAATATGGACTTGACTCTGAGATAGTAGCTTCTTTCTGTGAATCTTTTGCTACTCATGTTGATCTCCCTAAGGAGAAGTGGTTTAAATATCATCCTCCTATAGAAGTAAAAGTAGTTGCACCTATTAAAGTTGAAGAAAAGACTATCACTTATAATGATCCTATTGTTCCTACTGCCTATGTTGAGAGACCACCTTTTCCTGTTAGGATAAACGATCATGCTAAAGCTTCAACTGTGGTTCGTAAAAGCAATATTAGAACTGAGGGAGTACTGGATTAGGGGGTGTCCGGATGGCCAGACTATACCTTCAGCCGGACTCCTGGACTATGAAGATACAAGATTGAAGACTCCGTCCCACGTCCATAAGGGACTTTCCTTGGCGTGGAAGGCAAGCTTGGAGATACGGATATGCATATCTCCTACCGTTGTAACCGACTCTATGTAACCCTAACCCTACCCAGTGTCTATATAAACCGGAGGGTTTTAGTCCGTAGGACAACATACACATCAACAATCATACCATAGGCTAGCTTCTAGGGTTTAGCCTCCTCGATCTCGTGGTAGATCTACTCTTGTAGGACCCATATCATCAATATTAATCAAGCAGGACGTAGGGTTTTACCTCCATCGAGAGGGCCCGAACCTGGGTAAAACTTCGTGTCCCTTGTCTCCTGTTACAATCCGGCCTAGACGCACAGTTCGGGACCCCCTACCCGAGATCCGCCGGTTTTGACACTGACATTGGTGCTTTCAATGAGAGTTCCTCTGTGTCGTCGCCGTCAGGCTCGATGGCTCCTACGATCATCAATAGTGATGCAGTCCAGGGTGAGACCTTCCTCCCCGGACAGATCTTCGTCTTCGGCGGCTTCGCACTGCGGGCCAATTCACTTGGCCATCTGGAGCAGATCGAAAGCTACGCCCCTGGCTGTCAGGTCAGATTTGGAAGTTTAAACTACACGTCTGACATCCACAGGGACTTGATCTTCGAAGGATTCGAGCCACTGCTGAGCGCGACGCACTGTCACGACAAGCATGATCTAGCTCTGCTACCGAACAGTGCCCTGGAGGCCGCACCCACGTCGGCTTCGACCCTTAACTCGGAGCCAACTGTGCCGATCGAGGATGGGCGGTTGGATGCCACCTCGGGGGCTGCAACCCCAACGACGATTGAGCCAAGCACCAGCCCCGTACTCCACGAGACCCGTGGCTCCAAGGAGCCGGACTCCTCTCCGGACTCCGAGCCCCCCGCGCCCCTGCCGATCG